TCACTTGCCAATTGATGTCTCTGGTTCCCTGTTTACAATCTTTTAAGCTCATTTTGCTTTGGATATGTCCATTCAGCTATTATTTCTTCAGACAATTTTTTTCTGCTCCACATTTTTCTCCTTTACTGCTGGGACTCCAGTTACATGAGTGTTGTACCTTTGTTGCTGTCCCATACATTCTAAGGCTGTCTTTTATTATTAATATTATTAATTCTTTTTACTCTTTTTAGATTGGATAATTCATATTGAGCTATTTATATATGTACTATCTTCTGTGTTATCTCTAATCTGCTATTAAACACTTCCAATAATTTTTTTATTATATTTTTCAGATCTAAATTTCCATTTAATTCTTTTTCTTATAATCTATTTCCTTGTTGACATTTTCCATTCATTAGAAGGTGTTTGTCCTTACTTCTTAGGGCATGGTTATAACAATGGTGACAGAAGAAATAAAGTTACCATCAAGTCAACTCCAACTCATGAGAATTCCATGTGTGTCACAGTACAATGGTGTGCCATAGGATTTTCAATGACTAATTTTTTGGAAGTAAATCACCAGGACTTTCTTCCAGTGTAACTGTGGGTAGATTTGAACCTCCAATATCTTGTTTAGCAGCTATCATGTTAACTTTTTGCACCACCCAGGGATTCCAGAGCATAGTTATAAGGGCTGCTTAAAGGTCTTTGTCTCACAATTCCAACAACAATGTCATTTTGGTATTACCATCTGTTGATTGTTTTTTCCCTTGATATTTATTGAGATTTTCATTGTTCTTTATATGTCAGGTAAATTTGGATAGTATTTTGGAAATTTTTATGAAACTCTGGCCTTGTTATGAAACTCAGTTCTTATGGAGAATAACGATTATTAAATTGTATCAAGAAATTGACCCAGTTAATATCAGGCTTCAAATTTTGACTGGCCTTCTAGTACTATGTTTCTTATGTCAGCTCAGTCCTCAAAGTATTTGCAGAGCTGTTTGGATAATATCCCAAATGTGGATTGCCCAGTGGCCAGTTTGGGACTTGTCAAATGTTATACCCATTTTTCACTTCTCAAAGCTTTTGGTATAATTTGGTCTTAGATCCACTCATACACAGTTCTGGGAAATTCCAGGAGTTCATACACAACTTTATGATATTTTTTTTTTTAGCTCCCTCCTATCTGCAATCTTCCAGACACTTCTTGGCTTCCAGGGGCCCCTGCCCCCAATATTTTGGCTAGACCACTGGGACTTTAATTTCCTCCTTTGCCAAACACTGGTAAATTCTGTTCTGGAGCCAAGACAGTTCCTCTGGCCAGAGATGAATCCCCTACCTCAGAGTTTTAGGTGTTTACCTGGTTTCCACAGCTATTACCGTAATAAGATTTCCTGAGGGCCTAAGTAGGAGAAAACAAGAAAACAATTGGATTTCAACCATTTCATCAGATTCTCAGGGGCCCCTTTTCCTTCTCTTCAACCAGAGAGGGCTTCTGTAAAAATGGGATGGTGGAAGTGTCTGACCTCTACCTTCACAAGAGAGAAGGAGAATCAAGATCAGCATCAACAGCTCAAGGCTGATTCCTATGAGGTGAAGATCAGACATGCTTCCTCTCTCCAAACTTTTTATCAATTCTGACACTAACTACGCCTCTGCTGGATCTGATAATTCATTGCAATGGCCACACAAAACTCACAGACAATACTATGACTAAGGCACTTATCAGAGAAGTAACAATTCAGGATCAGGAAAGACACAGCATACAGTTCTTTGATCAGAACAGCCTCTTGTTAGCCATGCCCACAGGCAGGCCACTCCCTGGTTCTCAGTCTCTCATCCCTCAGCCCCTGAGCCCTTGGGCTTCTTTGGCTGGTCTGGCTTCTGCCCTGCTTGGGCAAATGTTTCAAAGCTCTTTAGTTCCACTGATAAATGCCCAGAGGCACCCCACTCCATCAGCAAGCCTCTTGCCAGAAGGCACTCAGTTTTCTGTCTATGGGTTCATAAGTCTAGCTCTGCCACATACTCAGAGGCACTCCACTCCACCAGCAAGCTTACCTGAAGGCACTTGGTTTTCTGGCTCCATGGGCAAGGAAGCCCACTTCACTGACACCTGTCAGTCTCTTGGTTCTGTTACCTCTGCTGCTGCTGTTTCTCTTCCACTGCTTCTCACTATCTCTCACCATTTCCAGTGTCTAGGAAGATCCCAGTGCAGGGACCTTAGTTTCAGATGACACACTCCACTCCCATCTCTTCTTCTTGATGATAGTGGTTCCCTTTTGCTCTGGGATTGGTTCTTTTTTTAAGCCAAAAAAACTAACCAATCCCCTTCTAGGGATCCAAACACCTTATTTGCCTCTCATGGCATGGTAGATAAGGCATTTGGCTGCTAACCAGAAAGTCAGCAGTTCATAATCCACCATCTGCTCCATGGATGGGAGATGGGGCAATCTACTTCTGTAAAGATTTACAGCCTCAAAAACCCAATGGGCATTGCTATGAGTCAGAATCAACTTGATGGCAGTAAGTTTCATTTTGAGTTTTTTTCCACATATGTTTCCATGCACCTTTTGTGCTTTATTAGCAAACTATTTAATCTCCTTGGTGGACCACGAGCACCTTATTCACATAGACCTAACTGATTTATTTAATGGACTTTACAAGACCATGGCTAGAAAGGCCACATAAGATTATTCCATCACACTCAAGCTAATTTGGGAATCTTCCTTTGTCCACACTTGGTTTTGGGCTGCCAATGACTTAAGGTCGGGGGACGTTGGAAGAAGAACAAAACAGGAAACTCACCAAATTAGTGTAACTTAAAATTCTGAATTCCTTCTCAATTTAACTGCTACTGTTTACTTTTCAGAGTCCTCAGAAAGCAACTCATGCATTCTGCTTATAGTTTTTAGTTTCATTCAAACAGAAGAGATAGGGTAGAGTTTGCTACTCCATATGAATCCATGTTTGTATCTTTATGTTTCCAGAAATCACTAAAAATAATTACTAAGCACTATTTGCTTAATAGTGTGAGGGATACAAAAGGACATCTATAGTTTTTTAGTTAATCCTCGTAATAGCCTTACAAAGTGTACCAAACTTTGGGTGATAAAGAAGGGGAAAATATGTCTTACCTTCCCAAAACCTCATGCACAACTGGTCCATACTGGCTAAAAGATAGTTCCTGTATCATGCTTACAAAATGCCAAGGACTTTATAAGTAGTATCTTAATGAAGTTCCTCTAAAAGAAGATGCCATAGCTAAAAATAACAACAGTCTTGCTTCCAAGGAAATATCAGGCTGTGTAGCTGACTGGCTGAGGGAGATTTTGGGGTCAGAAGACCTTACCAATTGTCTTCATTTAATACTACTCTGTTCTCCAGGATTGCCACACATGGCCATGCAGATTGCATATTAGAGACTCCAGGAGAAACTTTTCTTATGGATTATGACATGAATGGTGCACCTTAGAGCTAATCACATTCTGACTGGGTGCTCTGTTCACAGTTAAGGTCCTTGGCAATCAGAAAAATTAGGAGGTGGCAATGACAGCATGTTGTGTCTTAGACTTCTTCCTTCATTTACTCTCTGCTTATTTCCTCCTCTATTAGTTTTGGAAAATCATTACCACTCCAGAGAATTTGAATTGCCTTAGAAGAAGCCATACACTCTCCCAGAGTTCCCCAAGAGGACTAAACCACATGGGCTTGCCAGAGTAAATACTGGACACTTGTGAGTCCCATGTGTCTATCTTTTGTTACATTTTCTGTGTCCTAGCAAAAGAATATGACTTGACAGCACATAACAACAACAAAGCAAAAGGGACAAGAAGTAAGAGGGAGGTAGTGTCCATTACGTCTACTTGGCTGGCAGAAATAGTTTGAAGACAACAGAGAGAAACCATTTTCTCTTATCACTTCATTTAGGAATGAGTCTCTACTACCCAGAGAAAGGAAATTCTTGGTTTGGGGAAGATTCCATTATTAAATCTCCAAGCCTGGCTCCATTAGTGTATTTTGAGCAGAAATTCTGACCATCCTTTGGAGCTTATATTAGGATGTATTTTGCAGATGAAATAATTATGCAGTGGTGTATCTCTGATATTAAGTTGGATGGGTCTTTTCCCTTCTGAAGGAAAATAGTCCTTCCTTAAGTTTTATGGCATCTGCTATGAGTGTCTTTCCCAAAACTGAAGCAAACATCACATGAACTCCAAAACCAAACTCACTGCCATCAAGTCGATTGAGACTCACAGTAACTCCTCCTTGGGTTTCCAAGGCAGTATCTCTACAGAAGTAGGTTGCCCAGTTTTCCTTCCAAGGAGTGGCTGGTGGGTTCAAACTGCCAGCCTTCTGGTGAGCAGTCAAATGCCTTAGGCACTATGCCATGTGTGTCCATAAAAGGGCTAGCTTTTATGCTAGAAAAGTAGTGGGCCTCAGATAAGAACTGAGGATGATAAGAAAAGAGGATGGGGCCTCTCATGAGCATTTCCTAGACCTAATCCAGGATGGGGTTGTGCATGCTGAGAAATGTTCAAGGGCTCCTAGTGGAAGAATAGCTATTGGGCCTTGGGTCTTGGTTGGGTGCAGATTAGGTTAGAAGGCAACTTTACAATACAAAAGCATTCAGCAGCCTGGAGAAAGAGGGCCTAACCTGGTGTTTAAGAAGGATAAAGCCTTGCACCGAGTTGGGGAAAAAAAGCTACACCTGGACTCTTTGTGTGACGCAATTAAATGCTCAGTTACTAACTGAAAGACTGGTGGTTCAAATCTACCCAGAGGCACTGTCTTGGCCTCTAGTGCTGCTCTAACAGACATGCCACAAATGGATGGCTTTAACAAATAGGAATTTATTCTCTTACAGTTTAAGAGGCTAGAAGTCTGAATTCAGTGTGTCCCTCAACCTTGTGTTTCAGCTCTGCCCCTATTTCCTGGCCCACTGGAGCTGAAATCTTTCTGACTCATGCAGCTGCTGGCTGCTAAGGCTGACAGACCCAAAATCTAAAGGTAAAATGGCACAATCCCAACATCAACAGGCAATATGGAAGGCCACTGGTTCAAGTCAAGAACTGGAGATGAAGACCTGGCCAAAACCGGGATGCAAAATATGCCAAGGAGCTAGAAACCTTCCTCAAAACTTCTCCTTATATACTGGAAGCAGGCCACAGTCCAAAGGCAGCTACTTAACTGCTCACAGCAAATTCCAACATAGAGGAGATTACAATCTCATCATAAAATTGAAATTTTACAAAGTGTCTTCTCTGACTACAAAGGAATTAGAAATTAACAACAGAAGCAAAAGTAGAAAACACACAAATTGATGGAAATTAAACAACAAGCTATTAAATATCTATTGAATCAGGGAAGAAATCAAGAGTGAAATTAAAAAACACCTGGAGATAAATGAAACTGAAAACACATTATACTAAAATTTATGGTATAGTAATCAACCCCTACTTTAAAAAAATAAGAAATATCTTTCTTACTTTTAGTTTATTTCTAACTTGATAGACTGGAAAAAGAAAAATAAACTCTTTTGGTTACTTTGTGGCAGTTTAACAGAAAATACCACATATGGATGGTTTTAAACAAACAGGGTTTGTTATCTTACAGTTTAGGAGGCTAGAAGTCCAAGTTCAAAGTACCAGTTCGAGGGGCTGGGTGAAAGACCCTTGACCCTGGGCTTCAGCTCTACCTCTTGTGTCCGGCCCACAGCTACCATCTCTTCACTCAGGTAGCTGCTGGCTGCGGAGGCTCACAAACCCGAGGTTGGCAAATAAAATAACACAGTCCTGATATTACCAAACAACAAAGCAGGCCACTAGTTCAAGTCCAGAGATAATCCCAAGATCAGCAGGAAACATGGCAAGCTGCTGAATAAAGACTCAGCTACATTCAGTATCAAAGCATGCCAAAAAGCTGCCAAGACCTTTCTCAAAACTTCTTCTATACTAGAAACAGACCACATCCCTAAGTCAGCTACTCAGTTGCTCCAGTAGATTCCACTATGAACTTGATTACCAATATCATCATGGGGAATAACTATATCCAGCTGCCAGCCACTCAAAGCCAGGCCCAGCCAAGTTGACACATAACCTTAACTACTACGAAACTAAACCTAAAGCTACTAAAAGAAAGGAAATGATAGGGACCAGAGCAAAAATAAATGAAATATTGAACGGGAAAATAGTAGAGAGAAACACAAATCCAGAAGTTGGTTCTTTTAAAAGATCAATAAAATTGACAAAGTATTTGCTAAGATGGCAAAGAAACAAAGAGAGAAGACCCAAATAATTAAAATAAGAATGAAAGCAGAGACATTACAATGAGCCAATTGTAATAAAAAGATCATAACAGAATACTGTGAACTGTACTCCAAGAAAATTGATATATTTGATGAAAATGGCAAATTCCTAGAGGCACATAACCTACCTAAAGTGACTCAAAATGAAACAGAATAAGGAAAGGTTTATATATTGGAGGACATTTTCTTTGTTGGTTACCAGGGGTGGGAGGGGAGGGGAGGGAATGCTGTTAGATAGATAGAGATAAATATTGATTTGGGTGAAGAGAAGGGCAATGTACCAAATGTGAGTGACCAATATGGCAGCATTGAGGATGAGAAAGACATAGAGAGTTACATGGGCAGTACAGACAACAAATATGAACCCTTTTGCATATACAGTACTGAGTTGTCAGTGAAAGCAAACATGGGTATAGGGATGGATAGATAGGTGAACAAGCTAAACAATTATGTATGTCTAAATGGAGGAGCTCTGGTAGCATAGTGGCTAAAGCACTTGACTGCTAACCAGAAGGCTGGTGGTTCAAACCCACCAGCCACTCCTCGGAAGGAAGGTTGGGCAATACTTCCGTAGTGATACTGCCTCGGAAACCCAAGGTGGGGTCGCTATGAGTCGGGGCCGACTCGACGGCACATAACAACAACAACAAATGGAGAGTGTATCCAAGATCATATATAGGGTTGGCAGACAATGGGCCTATAAGTTCAAGTGAATGATCAGAATTCCCAGGTGTATAGTAGAGCTGACAAGGGGCAAGGTTATGGTCAGTGCTTGGTCACAGCCAACTACCCAGAGGGACCAAGTAGTTGATCCTGCGGGCTTGGGACCATAGTCTCAGGGGACATCAAGCTCAATTGGCATAACATACTATACAAAACATTGTTCCACCTACTACTTTGGCGAGTAGCGACTGGGACCTTAAAAGCTAGGAAGCTGCCATCTAGCTGCAACAACGGGTCTCTCCTCATCAAGAAGAAAGAAGAAAACCAAAATTAATGGAAACAATCAGTCATAGCGACTGGTACACCATCCGATCTGCAACCTATATAACTATGAGACCAGAAGAACTAGATGGTGCCCTGCTACCACTGCCATCCACTTGGAAGGGATGTAGGAGATCCTGCATAGAGAGGGAGAACAATGTGGAGCAAAACTCAAAATCATTTGGAGGCAGAAAAAAAAAAAAAAGAAGAAGGTGGGGACCAGGTTTGCTGGTCCAATAGAGCCTGGTGTAACCACTGAGACTATGGTCCCTAGCTGCCCTTCAGGTCTGGAATTGAACCCACAACTGTGGTTTCCAGCCAAACAAAGTACAGGCATGTGAATTAAACATTTACCTCAAGTAGACACACGCCCTGGAGAGAACAATCATGGGAGAAGGAAGGGCTGCTTATGCACAGGGAGATAGCGCAGGGTGCAGAAGAGTATGAAGGGATGGACACTGGGAGGAGGTAACTATGGGGAGGAAGTGGGAGGGGAGCTGCTGCATTGTAAATTTTGGTCAATGACATGAGACAAAGTATATGTGAACTGCTGTATGAAAAGTGAATTTACTCTGTAAATCTTCACCCAAATCCTAATAAATAAAAAAAAAAAATGAAACAGAAAACCATAACAGACTAATAACAAGCAAAGAGATAGAATTAATAATATTAATAAAGCCAATAAATAACCAAACAACTAATGGGATTTTTATTTCTAAGTTTAAGGACTAGCAGCAGAGTCTTCTTATGTTCTACATCTTACTTTTATGAATAGTGTCTGGCATCTTAAAAGCTTGCAAACAGTCATCTAAGATACAACTATTGGTCTCTGTTTGTCTGGAGCAAAAGGGAAAGAAGGAAACCAAAGACCAAGAAAAAACTAATTAATAGGACAAATAGTCCACAGGAACCACGGCCTCATCTACACTGAGACCAGCATAACTAGATGGTGCCCAGCTACCACTACCTTTTTTTTTTCTTTTTTTTTTTTTTATTATCATCAAATTTACTTGGACACAACTGTTTGAAGACGTCTCTTCTTGCTTGAAGTAATTGCTGTTTTTTTTTTTTTTTTTTTTTTTTATTACCACCCCCAACCCTAACACACTCTCCTCCTCTCCTTTCACAATAAATACCACCCCTGTGCCCTTCATAGTTATGCACTGCTGTGTGTCTTGCTTTCCTCCATGTGAATGTTGCCCCTCTGGTGCCACATGGCCGATTCCTCCAAGGGGTGTATCTCCATATATCATGTGGGTGCAGCACCCTGGGTTGAGTGGTCAGCTACCACCACTGGCCATTACAATGAAGGCCACAATAGATAGACCCTGATAGAATGGAGAAAAATATGCAACAGACCCTCAAATTCCTAAAATATAAAAAACAACAATAACAACAAAAACCTATTGGACTAGTTGAGACTGGAGG